ACCAGCTTATATTTAAAACAATTAATCATCAAAATAACTTTTAATCAGCTAATGTACAAAATGATTCTTTATGTAAAGCTTGATTTCAGTCCAATGACAAGAAGATAGTAACAGGTTGAAGTTTGAGTTCAGTGAGCTAACCACCTGGTTCCAGCTGGAATACTCAGCATTTCTTTAATGTTCATGATATGATTCATACGTGTTGCTCACCTGTTTGTAAAGAAAACATGTTTTAGCAGCAGCAGTTTTAAAAACCTTTCATGTGAGTTAGCTTAGTTAGCATTAGCCGAGGGTAGAAACGGCGTCATCAGCTAGCTAACGCTAATTGGCATTTATCACCGATTTTAAGGTTAAGTTAGAGTTAACAATCTTCACACATAGTTACCGAACTCTTGTAATAATACGTTCAGTGACAGAAAGTGGTTATCGTGGATGAAATCATGTAAAAATGTGACTCACAGCAGGAAACACGCAGTAAATGTTCAAACCTCCCGCCATTCGTCCGTCCGGAGCCCAGGCCGCGTTCACGTACCGTCGGACGAGTCAAACCTGCGAGATCATAGCACCGAAATAAACGGCGAACAAACACTGCCGTCGGTATTTCTTTTCGCTTTTTATTTTTATATTCCTCATTTGCTCCATGGCTTTATCAACATGTATGAACATGTATGAATTAAAACTAATTTTAAGAGTTTATTACGACATTTCTATCCAGGTAGGAATACATTCGATCATCTTTGAGCCATTTGAATGCATCACACACCTGTGAGGTGGCTGTGTTGAAGAGAAAATGTGAAATTCAGTCACTTTTAAAAAGGATGATTCTGATAAAGTTGTGTTTGACCGTATTGTCACAGATAGAATGTCAGGATCAGACGTAATTAGACCTATAATAGTATAACAGTATTCACTATATTCAGTCCCACTGCCATTGGTTGGACTGAGCGGGCCCAAGTGTGCCAACACATGTGAATAAGAAGACATCACAAAACCTGGCTGTTCAGTGCTTTGTGAGGTTATTGAAATCTGCTGCAGTCCTCAGTGGTGATGGTGATCTAAATAATTCATTGATTTGTATATTTTGTACACCTAGTTGAAACCACTGCAGTCTAATTAACATTTCTAACAGTTGCACTATCTTTTGCATCTATATCTACACAGGACAACAAAACATTTCCATACATTGAAATAAATAGTCATCTTCTTAAGAACTGAAATAAGAAGATACGACAATAAAAGGATGATAAGTATTGTGGCAACAATAGATGTGTGTACACCCAAAGACATTTAATCAGGCAAAGTAAATGTTAAATTTGTTAAGCACAGAAAGAGATGGAGGAAACAGTAAAGGGATAAGAGCAAGGACTGAGCCAATAAATTCACATATTTGAAAAGAAAATAGCAAGTTAACCGGGGATCTGCAGTCTTCTGTCCAAAATATGTATCAACACTTTCTTTTTCAACAAAAAGTGACTACCACAACATTCATCACAGCAGAGTTTAGTGTAGTATTTACCTCCTTTAGTTATAGTTAATTTTACCTGACAAAAAGTTGTACTTTGAGTTTTAGACTCTAGAGGTTTATAGAACTGCACAGAGGCAAACAGTTGAAGGTGCTTTATTTCTGCAGAACATTCTTCATGGCATTGAAACAAGAATATGTACATCATTACAAAAACAATGCATCATTTGTATAAAACAATATATACATGTATTTAGCTTATGGTTGCCTGTACAACACCAAACAACACAAAAGCATGAAGCAAAAAGGGGAATAATCAGGAAATGCCTTTTCACTGGCATACTTCAGATTGCTCAACATGTACTGAAGATGGAAATGAGTTTTTTATTGCCTCAGTGTTGGCAAGATATAAAAATATATTAAATAAAATACCACATATACCGCAAATAAAACTTGGATAACTAGCCTTGGTTTCAAATTGTGCACAGTAAAGGCCACTGGATATTTTTCAAATATCCATTTATTCAGCACGTCGTGACTGAATGTTCCCCGGCTGCGTATAAAGCTCAGAATGGCACAGTAATCATCACAGTAATGGCACACAGTACAAGCCAGTTTCTTCAGAGAATGTTTGGCAAAGGTTATAGTAGTCAAGTAAATTTCACAATGCAACAGTAATGTTGCCACTCACACAGAAATACAATCTCAATCACACCTGGTGACTATATTATTTTAGATTAGATCAAATCAGAGATTAAATTATTTTAAAGGAGACATATAATGCTCATATTCAGGTTCATTTTCATTTATTATCTAAAAAGGTTTAGATGCTCGGATCCACAGCTCCACTTTTCAGCCTCTGTCTGAAACACTTGATTTTAGCTCCTGTCTCTTTAAGGTTGTGTCGCTAAAGCCGAGTCTGCTCTGATTGGCTAGCTGGCCCACTCTGGAGTGATTGGTTAACCACTTACAGCACAATGCCGGCCGCGGATCTAACTTTACCTGGATTTGTTAAGGGGTGTGCCAGACTAGCCATTACACAAATGCCACATGACATCACAATGTCGCATGACCTGTAAGTATCGGCCAGACTGACTAGCGGTTTCAGGAGCTTCAGGAGCGGTGCTGTCTGTGGGGGAGGGGAGCTCCCTTTACTACAAACTTTGGGTTTTTGACATTGCAGAACTTTTACATTCACATAAATATCAATAATAAACACACCAGAGTAAAAAAAAAAAAACCTGAAATAGCATAATGTGTATCCTTTAAAAAACATAAGGTCTAACTTTAGCTGATGACCTCAGGCAAATAAAGTGCAGAGGGATTAAAAATAATTTAATTTTGAGAGAGAGAGAAAATTCTTTTGGAATTAAACTTTACTTCATGGAACAAAAATGTATATTTAAAATGTTTTTTGCAGGATGGTAGAACTTCTGATAAAAAAAGATTTGTGAGAGTTTGCAGTTAAAAATGACCTCTATGTGTGAGTGAGTGGAACGTAGTAAATAATCCATGTTATTACTATGCAGGATTTGTTGTCCATTTAAAATACATTCAACTCGCTTGAGATCACAAAAGTAGTAAATTCAAAAACAACAATAAAAATACAAAGTCAATTGAACAATTATCAATACAACGGCTACAGTCACTCTCCCTACAATGTCCCGGTCCAGCAGAAGAATTCTTACATTAGATGCAAATTATTCTCTTGGTCTAATCAGTAAAATTCAGTGCACTGTTACAAAATGCAAATAAATATCACACATGTAAATAAAATATCTGAATGAGCCAACTAAGAAAAAACAAGCTTCCATTAATTGTCACTGACACAGTCTCTAAAAGATTAGCGTTACTGTTACTAAACTTGGTCGCTGGTTCGATTCCTCTAAAACAGACCGATCAGTGTATTTATGAACCCTGTCACTTAAAACAATAACAAAGACGACTGACGGGATACCAGTCTCAAGTCTGTCAGTGAAAAGTCAAGCTGCAGCCAGGAGACGTAGCTTAGATTCGCATAAAGACTGGAAACAGAGAAAAACAGCTAGTGTGGCTCTGTCCAAAGAAAACACAATCAATCTTCAGCACCTTTAAAGTTCACTTATTAAACACAGTAAATCTTCTTTCTTCAATTCACACACAAAAATTGGCGTTGCAACCAATCACAGAGAAGAAACAGTCTGGAGCATAACCCCCCCTCTAAGATTGAGAAGTTTTGTTTTTCCACTTCTCCAGTTTTAATACAGAGATATAACTTGTTTATTGGTGAGATTTGGTCATCAGGGATGTACAGAGCCCGACGAGCTGTTTCTCTTGTTTCCAGTCTTTATGCTGAATTCAATAGCTACAAACGTTACCTTCATATTTTCCATACAGGTCTCAGACTGGTATCAATCTTCTCATCTAAAGCTTGACTAGGGAACACGTAAGCATACCCCCCTAAATTTCAAATTATTACTTTAACAGTCGGGTCCACATATTCTGCTTAATAACAGTGTTGAGACTGAAAAAACCAAGGAGTGATACTGAGTGATGAGTCTTTTCATCACAACAGTGCTGCATGAGGGGAAAATACAAATCGAGCTGCAATGCTTCACATTTACAGAGAAATACTGAAACTATTTTTCCTGGGATAATATCAATTAAATATGATCCAGTCAACGAGACACTGTGTCGATAAGACGCACCGCCAGCAGTTAAAGTTGAATTTGGCCACTTAGTATTTCTACACCCTTGAGAAGAAAATCTTTCCTGAGGTTTCTCTCCTACCTGCACCAACACTGCCCGACCCTCCTACACATTATAGACTTGAGTGGTGGACGTTGTGGGTATGGTGGCACTATCCACTGTTGAGGTCGCAGGGGGACGCTCCCTTCTGACGTATCTTGGTTTCCTCACTTCAAAAAGGAAAGGAAAAATACATATCAAGTGTAAGAAAAATTGAAGAGGCAACATTTGAGTTAACTTCATTATACTTTGTGCTTTTAAAGCAACAGTATGCAACTTTTTACTTAAAAAAAAAGTCCTTATCCTCAGGCCTTGTTCTTCTTTGGTGAGTGGGTATTTTTCTCTACATCATCAAAACAACTTTGATTTTTTTTTCTCAGCAAAAGTCAAATAGTGGTTCTTTAAGAGGAGCTTTTATATCCAAATCATGTTTTCTAATTATAAACCTGTTATCACAGTCCTCCAAATTGCAACACTTCTCACCAACAATGCCAAATAGTCGTAGGTAATGTTTAGATGCATTACTCACCAACCCCACACATTTCTGGAACCTGTTTAGCAGGATCCCAGACATAGTTTACAAAGTAAGACAGTCTACTTATCTCACCTGAGGAGGAGGGAATCATGACAGCCTGGAAGAAAGAAAAAATTACAATTAACCCTTAAAGACTCTAATATTTGTCTATTTATTTGTAATACTAATGACAGTGCAGATGATACAATAAACAGATTTAAAGTCTCCACTCAAATCTCTGAATGTACTCTTGTGTTATTAGAAAAATCGACTTACCGTCTCACTGGGTTGGAAAATAAAGGCTGAAAAAGTGACAAAATAATGTTACTGAGGCAAAGCAATAGCAATGTTTCCATGTTCAACAGGCACATCCATGTTGTATTGTATAGTATTACATAGCCCATTACATAATGTGCATGTTGGAGCTTCATACTTCAGGTTTGTGCACTTACCTTTGTTGCGGCGGTAAAAGATGCCTGGAAGTCGGTTGGAGCGTTTGAGGTAGAAGAAGGAGGCAACAGACAAAATAAGGAACAGGCTGATCAACAGTGTTCCCAGAAGAAGAGACGCTGCCACGCCTGGCCCTCCTGCTCAACGACACAAGACAAAACAGGGAACAGAAGATGAGAAATATAACAAGTCCTGAAGACATTATTCTATCATCATACACATTTTGTTCCAGATGTTTTCCCTTTTTTTTTTGAACTAACCGAAATCAATGAGCTTTATATTAGCTCCTTAAATAAACACACTGATTCTTAAAACTAAATCAACATGGCTTCTCTAATCAACTAGATTTACAGACACTGTACCAGTTAAGAAATATTATACAGAATGAAAATTGCAAATCAGTCTGCAATGACTGTAGACATGACTTCCTACCAATTTTAGGAACTACAGTGGTGACAGTTGTGTGATTCTTCCGCTCCATTGTGTAGTCTAGAATGGACAGAAAAAGTGTAAATCAAAAAACTGCGGTTTGAATTTTCCAAAAGAGTGAGTGGATAGTTCGCTGTCCTTACTGTAGGTGCACACTGTTATGTTTTCCAGGTCCACGGATGCTGAGTCACAAAAGATACAAACAGTGTTGCTGTTCTCAAGGACACGCAGGAAGCAGCCTGAAGAATTCAAAAGAAGTACACATTTGATATTTTAGACCACATTTACTGGTGTCACATGAAAAACATGTCGTGTGGGGTCACTGAATGGTTTGATGAGTATGATGATGACATGAATAATGTGCCTTGAATCATGGTCTTTATAATCACTAGTTCTGAACCCAGTTGAACACATGGAGGACCAAGGTCATCATCAAAACAACAAATAAGGATTTGTGCTCCTCTATAACCAGAGGTCTTTGATTGACCAGTGTAGTAATATATGATAGGCTCTTAATGGACAGCAAGACCTTTGTCTACCACTAATCTCAAAGTGTTAAAATTAATATAACTGATTAAAGGTCAACCTCACTCACAGCTGTTTGACAGTGGTATAAAACGTCCACATTACCAGGTTCACAGTGAGTGTCGTTCGAACACGAGTTGTTCCCTCTCAGTTTGTCACTGCAGCACTCAAGTGAGTTCTGATGTAGGGCCTGTAAACAGAGCAGCATTCACACACGATCAGATAAGTGTAACTGGAATAAAAACACACACTGATCCTATCGGCTGAGAGACATCCATCTCCTTACCTTAGTTACAGGTGTTTCAGGTCTGATAAGGATCACGGTGGCAGCCAAGACCAAAAGGAACGACAGAGACATATTTGAAGCCTTGTGGACCGAACAGACTAGAAGACATATATAAATAAATCACTTTGATTAGTCATGTAATAGAACACATATTTATAATAATTAATCCCACATGAAAGATGAATGATTGAAGAAGATTCTGACTGGTATTCAACTGAATAAATCTAGCACAGATACTTTGATACTGTTTAGGTGTTGATTTAAACGTGTCTGTACCAGTGAAAACTGAAAACTGTGAAGTGAACGTTGACATAAAATGACAGGTCAGATTCTTCTTATGTATAGTCATTTACATCACAATGAATTAAATTAAGACTGTTTTATTATTTAGATGACTACATTTGTTTGCTTCTTGCGTTTTTAACTATGGAATGTAAAAAAAGGCGAACAACACATCTCCACTTCCTCTCACCATCCAGAAATAAAGCCAAAACATCCCAGATATGAGGGCTGCCATTTTAGCATTTGGAGCCCGAGTCTGCACAGCAGCAATCGTCAGATGTAGCCCTGCTATCGATTTCCAGCCAATACATGTGCTCAACCAATGGCAAGTTAGTCTCAGCTGTCGATAATGATTTTTCAACCTGTTTTTAATTTGCATAAAATAGGAAATCAAAACCGGACCAACTGGAAAATATAACATTTGAGCGTGAATCAGTGTGATAAGATTAAAATATACACTTGACGTTATCTCCCATCTACTAATAAGGGAGAGGCTAGGGATTATGACCTGTATTACAGCAATCCACCAGGTGGCCATCAAGACCCTTTGGCTTCACTTTTGGGGAGATGTCATGTCCTCCATCTTTATATACAATCTATAGTTCAGACATCTTTAAGACATGTGAGACATCGCAAATCATACATTAAAAAAAAGAAAATGTGTTCGCATTTTTTAAAACAAGGAATTCAAAAACAATATTGGTAACCAGTTTGAGATATTGCATTGATTAAAAGTTTTTTGAAACAATAACCAGACCTAATTATTATTCTGTATAAAAAAGCAAATCTACTCTAATGTGGAGTTACTAGTTTCGAATTGCAAACATCAGCAGTTCGAGGTGACAGTCTTCCACTGAAGTGCTTTTCTAAGCCGTGGTCAGTGAGCTGGCTTCAGGGTGAAATCCTTATCTGAAGGCGTCAGGCAGCAGCACAGTGTCAGGAGAAGGTTTGATTTGTGCTAACGTCAGTCAGGTGAGAGCACCAGCACACAGTTAGCTAGCTAGCACCTGTCACCAGGAAGTTACACCGTGACTGAGCCCGGAGCTAAAACAACCATGTCAGCGTTCTGACCAGTGAGCTAATCCGCTCTGCCCTCTCCACACACCACCGACTGCGTGACACCACAGACACACACGCCGAGCACCTGCACGTCGTGGTGCACGGAGACGCACAAAAAAGTTCACTCACCGCACAAACACCAGACTGTGGCCTGAGCGAGCTGCTCCTGGCTCCGGGGTTAGTCTTCGTCAGCTCTGCTCCGTCGCGGATGTTGGGGCAGACAGTCACTGGTGTTTGATGGCAGGTTGCTCATGAACACTTCGGTGCAGGACTCACACAGTTAATCCTGCAGCTCACTGCCACTGTCAGCACGTGCACTTCCGGTTTTCAAAATAAAAACCCCCAATCGTTGTTGTTGTTGTGCGTCATTGACAGGGGCGGATCTGGGCGGGGGGCCCCCAACACACTTAAACACTGGCATAGATGATCAAAAATACAGCATCAATTATCAATAACAGAATAGTTATTTTTTAAAATAAATGCAAAATGATCAATAAGCATTTAGCACACAGCTTCTTAATGTTAATATAATATTTTTTAACTGATTAGAAAATTGTAAAGAATGTGAACAGCTTTAGACTACTGTCTATTTTAAACAGCACTATTAGCTCTAACCAAATATTGTTCAAAGACAATTTCTTTTTTTCAGATTCATGAGTTATTCTGTTGATTATTTTTAAATTTTTAATTAAATTAGCAAATAAACTATTCAGGAAGGAAACACTTAATTTATCTTCATTGGTAACATTATACACAAAAGAAATAAAGGTGAAAGATTTCTGTATTTCTGTGTTACCTTTATCCAAACTAAAGAAAACAAACAAATGCCTCAGTGCCCTAATTTTCAGTGCAGGGAGACGTTTCTGCAGAAACTGATTCCAAAATAATTCTGAATACTTTTTTTGCATGGTGGATTTTAAAGCTTATTTCTATTTAAACCAAGAATCTATGGTAACTTCTTGGTAAGGCTATTCTACATAAACTGGCACAATTTCAGCACACAAAGCAATGGTGACAGTGCTCAAATTTACAATATTTAAAGTATTTGACTTATGAACATATCTTAAATAATGTCCCGCATGATTACATATTATGTCAGTGCCCTTGTATGTCCATCACATTTTAGACTCATAATGGGATCGATAATTGAACTGATTCTCTGATGAATGAAAGAGGGCATGAATTTTTGGTCAGTGAAATGTCACGTCTCTGGCAATGCAGTGAAGGACATCTGCACCAGCAGCTACATGTGACTGGACATACTGCTCTATTTATAACGGCTGAGAGCAAGGCCCCATGCAGTCTGACATACGCAAGGACAGATGCACAGCAGAGCTGAATTGTTCCAGCAAGGAGAAAGTGCTGCCTCCTCTCGACCCTGTGCAACAGGTAGGTCCCTATTTACTACAAAACACATTAACAGTGAGTTACTGAAGCAATATGCTACATGTTGGTTGTTTTGATGTAGTAGAAACCTAAGACCTTTAATGACATTGAAAGAGAGTGGCTGAAATTATTTCCGGCACCTTCGTGCTAAAAAAGAAAGAGAAACTTCATGAAATGCAAGATTTAAAAACACATTTAACCCCAAAACTAAAGTAACTATGCATAAATTGTATTTTCTAAACACAAAATATAATAAACACTTTAAGAAATAATGTGTGGTCACACTTTTTAGTAAGATATCTTAGTGTTTGTATAGTTTTTTAAATAAACAATTTGACTGTTTACTAAGTGTGTTTGTGAAGCTGATACAGTCAGTGGAACGCATCTGCCAAATCTTTCATATCAGGTCATATGACATGTTTTTAAAGAGCAGGCCCATGGAGTATTTTGGTATCTGTTGTGGAACTTGTGACCAAGGTGCTCTTGCTCTGCTGCTCTCTGAGGTCATCACTTCTCAAGCTTTCAACCAACTACTAGCAGCTGATTACAGCGATGTTAAGCTTCAGCCACGAATGTGCCCTTTATATGACAATGAATGTGTTTATGTAACTTTGATGTGCTCACCAAGGATGTTCTGTTACACCCCCACTTATCATTCTTACTGCAAAACAGACATTCAAGTCTGTAATCAATTCTGCTTCTTCATCCTTTCTCTTCTTTTTTAGATTGAAGAGCATGTGAGGTATGACAATGGATGATTTGGATCACAGCATGCACATCGCCCAGTTCGACTGGACCAGCTTCTATGATGACAGCGAAGAGTGCGGCCTGCTGCAGCCTTCGCTCGCCTGCCCCGATAACTCCAGCCTCAGTGAGGAAGAGGATTCGGAAAACTCTGGTCCAGGCCTCAGGGCAGTTCAGCAGGAAATACAGCAGAGCCCTGATGTGACCAGAGCTGAGAGAGAGGCTGCAGGAGAAGAGGGACTGAATGAGAGCGAACAAGTGGCGAGTGAGACACGGGTGGACTCTGAAAGATGCCTTGAAATCCTCAGCACGAAAGAGGTGCATGCAAAGACTGCAGAGGACATCACGGAGGAGACAAATAACAACATTGCTCTGCACACTGAAACATCAAGTTTTCATTGTTCAGGAGATTGGAAGGAGCTGAAAAAAGAGGATGACGATCTGCAAACAGAATTTAAGAATTCCAGACATGAACCTGATCCACTGTTTCTCAAGCAAGTGGATCAAAATGTGAATGATCCACATAGTACAGCTGTGAGTGACATGAGCAGTAGCGTCACCTCAAGAGCAGAGAAGGAGCGCTGGTTTGTGACAATGAATTACAATCCTGCACGACGACGAGGGCGTTCCACCTCTGTGAAAAAAAAACGACGACAAAGAAAGGCCTGTAAAAACAATCACCCGTGCAGCAACACGCAGGAGAAATCTCTTGAAAATGGACCAGAGTTTGAGTTAAACAAAGATAAAAATGAATCTGCAGGAGGGACGGACAACAAAATGACACATGAGAGCATTTCAGATATGCATGTGTCAGAAAAACTGGTTATCTCTCATTCCCCCGAGGAATCTGACAAAAACAACCAGGAGGTAGGCACCTCAGCCTCCTCGTCACATGACACATTCACACCCAGACACCCTTCATCAGTGGAGAGTGAAGAGTCAGAAGAGTTTGACGATGGTGTTGAGTTCTTTTCTGTCCACAGTTATGACTCTGAAAGCTATTTGTCTGCTGCTGAATCAGTGGAGGAATCTCAGCAGCTTCGGCCTGTGGATTTAATGCAGCTGCAGAGCTCTGTGTCTCTGACGCTGCAGATTGAGAGAGAAAATGATGACATTACACAGGACAGACAAATGCAGAGCTCGCTCTCCTGCAATGTAGCAGCTGCCAACTGTGAAAGTTATGAATGCAATGACGTTGAGGATGCACTGACTTTTCCATCTGATGGCCAAAGAACCGACAAAATGCCAGACGACGACTCCACATGTGATGTTAGCACAGACAGCACGGCGCTCCACACGCTCTCGGACACAACAGGAGTCCACAATGACAAAATTAATCTTTCAGCATGTGGTGGCTCTTCAGGAGATCAGCACGGTCTCCTCCCTATCCCTGATCTAACTGTAACACCTTGCTCTCTGGCAGACAGCCCTGAATCCTACGCTGTGGCTGCAGGCCACATTAAACCTGTGTACGCCATGTCTGCCTTCTGGGATGAAATGGAAAAACTGACGATAAATGACATTTTGCAGCTCAGGATGGGGAAAAGCTCGCCTCCCACTGACACACAAGAAACACTGACAGCAAATGTTAATGAGTCTCTAACAAGTCACAGCTCTCTGGGTGACAGTGGACTCATGGAGCTGTCGGACACGGCTGATTCAGATTATTTCACACAGCCTGACGAGTCCAAGCCAGATCGCTCCAGCTGCGAGTTCTCCACCTCAGACTTTGAAGAGGAGTACTGGCAATTTATTGGTGCCAGTAGGAACCCCAGTCCTGATACTCAGAGTAAAACCCACGACAGGACGAGTGAATCTCCTCTGTTATCACATGAGGAGGAGGAGTCCATGAGCTCCGAGGGAAAGGAGACACCCGTCCCTTTGGAGGACTTTGTGGAACAGTTATTTGAGGATCAGGAGTCAAGTACTTTGAGCAAACTCTCCTGGCCGAGACAGATAACAAAAAGTAAAAGTGTGCACAAGGTACAAGCTCTCAACAAAGAGGATTTGACTGTTCCCTTTGGGGATGATGAGAGCAGTCTGTTTCTCAGCGGGTGTCAGTCTCTGGAGGTCAGTGGTGACCTGGGAACACTACTGCCAACACCTTTTCTCGACACAGATCATCAAATATCCTTCCCAGAAATGTTTGAATACTTTTTCACAGAGGATGAAGTAAAGAATGACTCCTGGTCCGTCACTGTGTACAATCCTTCGGGCATCTCACTGTCTCCTCTGTTTGACTACACTCTTTGCTCATTGAGGGACGATCTGTCTCTCTCTTCCCTCCAGTGCAGCGAGGACAAACCCATCCCTATCTTCTCCTGTTGTTCTCCAACCGTCAGAGAACTCACATTCCCAAAATCGGACCATGTTTTCTTGAGTGCAGACTGCAGGGCAGAGGAGGAGGTGGGCAACTTCTCTCCAATCAGAGTCATGTCTCACTCTTTCATCCGGGCCAATCACTGTGGGACATCTGCAAAAGCCGCAGCTCGGTCTCACAGCTGGAGGAGTTTGCTGTCAATGAGAAAGATTCGGTTCCATGACAAAGGTAGCATGTGGTGCGGGGGTTCTGGCGCCTGGATGTTTCCATTGGGGCCTGAGAAGATAGAGGGCAATGATCCACCAGTCACTGTGCTCACTGAGGGAAAAGTCTCCCTGACTCCTTCTCAGAGGTTCAGAGAGCAAACAGAGCTGCAGAGCTTTCTGGGAAGTCTACAGACAACAAGTAAGCCAGATCTCTGTTATACTCTGTCCTGCATATAAAGGCAATACGGCAAAAAGGAAACATACATTCACACATAAACTAGCATTACACAAAATGTACTTTTTCCCTCTATTACAGGACGAGAGGGCATTTTCTCCACACTGAAGCAGTCTGATATGTGTTTGGTCTGCATTGCCTTTGCCTCCTGGGTGCTGACATCTTCTGATCCAGAGGCTGCTGATGCCTGGAAAGCAGGTATGAAACCTCATTATTCAGCAAATATGTCTGAAACTAGGATTACCGCCCTGCAGTGGTTTGCGTCAGTTCACTGGTGCAGCTTCAGTCTACATAACTCTTTTTTCCCCAGACTCATATGAGTGACCTGTGACCTTTGACCTGATCAACATGTGAAAATCACAGTTCTGCAAAACTTGATGATTGAAACTTTGTTTTAAATCTGTTCAGCTCTGCTGGCGAACGTTAGTGCGCTCTCGGCCATCCAGTACCTGCGGCGGTATGTGAAGAAGATGAGACCTCAAGACAATCCCTGATACATAATGTACACAACAAGTCACTTCCAAGCACTTTTCACCTGGGTCCATCTATAAAAACTGTACTGCACTGTATGTATATGTACTTATCAGCTAAATAGCTCCTGTTACAGTGTTGGTGTTGCATTGGAGGTCAAATACAACACAATCTGAGCTCATGTTAAATTTTTTAGCTTCAAACTAGTTGGACAGATGACACACTGATGTACAATATTTCTTAAATGAAGGCAAAAGATAAAGATTAGAAATATGAAATATAAAGACTAAAATACAAAATATGATATATGTAATTTTAGTATAAAAACATCAACATGTCCAATTTGTTGGCAGACTGAAGATTTTTATCTTCCAAAGAAAAGAATGAGTATTAGGATTAAGTGCCAAAGGCAGGGTTAGGAGCACATAGTTGCTTTCGTTGTTTTTGTGGGATTCGTTATAAACATTTCAGCTGCATTTCAAACTTAAGTTGATCAGCTCTGGACAAACTGAAGTTGATTTACGGACCATATCGTCAGCACAGAAGCTCATTTGTTTTTAACACTGCCTCAATCGTGGATCTGAAAGTTAAACAGCTGCAGTCAAGCTAAAATGTAACAGCAGCTTGTATGTTTTTGATGAACTGCTGCAAGAGTGTGTGAGCCGTCTTTGTAGAAAATGAAAATGGGGATAAAAGCCCGAAGGGAAGTTATGATGCAGATGTTGATCTGGTTGAGAGAAAAGATGAAGGTGGCTGAGCTGTGGAGGATTTGAAAGCTTTGTCTGAAAGTGGTTCACAACATTCTTTCCTTTGTGCCTCTTTTATTAAAACCTATGTTTGTGTGAGATGAAAACAGTTCAGAGGGATTTTTCATGTTTAGACTGTTACATTGGAAAGAAGGAAAGTAGCACTGTACCATATTAAGTAAATAAGAAAATTAAAGGCAATTCTCTGCAGATTTTATTCTTCTCACTCGCTTAATCTCAGGAATTATTTTCTCAATGGTAGCTTTGACTAATTGTTTAATTAATGGCCTTTCTAATTGGCATTACTCTCTCAAATGGTAAGTGTAAACGCTAAATGATATGTTGTTGTCAGTGCCACTGGTTAAAAAACGATTTGTGTGAAGTATTACCAAAAAATGGATCATTTGAATAATTGATATCTTATCTAACAGAACTTGAGAGGTTTTGGTGTAATGAGATTTAATGCAATAGAAATATGAATATACAAATGTCTTCTCCTCTCTGTCCAAGTTAATGGGTGAAAGAAAAGCAACACTAGCAGAGGAACGAAGCTTTTTTTCACAGGCTTGTTTCTCCACACACAAGAACTCCACATACAAAAAGAATAAGGTGTCACTGCAGAAATATTTATTGAAATAAATATGCAATGGATACACTTTCATACTATATGACATAAATATTGGATTTGGAGGCAGTTCTTTTTAAAATACCATTAAAAAGTTTGAGTTTCTCTAATTTTCATCAAAATGAAATAGATACATAATGATAAAATGTCTGTACTGACAGATCATGGTCCAATTAATAATTATCTCACCTTATAACACTATATATTGTTTTAGCTTATGAATTACTGCTATCGTGCTGAATCAGGGGGTCGAGTGTTTGCGTCTACTGCTATATTAATAGTACTCGTTCATATAGAATATTGTTGACGTGTGATATTTACAATCTCAAAAATGAGCGGATAAAAGCTTCGGTTATACTGTGAAAAGATATCTCGATATATAAAACTTTAGGATTTAGACAAATATTTAGCAGATTTAAGAGTAAAACCAACCTCTACTATACTTTCAGAGTCTAAACACCACAATGCAACTTGCTACTCTAGTTTGGTGAAAACTGAAGACTGAATCATGCTAGGTCATTCAAACACGGATTTAAATGTCATTCTGTACAAGGAAATCACATAAAAATCATCATCATAGGTACAGTATTATTTAAACTTAAACACCAAAGTCAGTCTGTTTTCATATCCTTTATAAGAGCTGTGTTTAGCAAATTCAAATAACTGCATATCAAACAGTTTTACAGTTTGTTAGAGAAAATCTGTGACTAAATCTCACAGCAATGAGTGAGACTGTTCATTATTTTGATAATAAAACTAGTATAAATTCTTAAGTGATATGAAAACCTCCGACAGACTTTAACAGTCCCATTAAGTGCCGAACGAGGAATGCACATAAAAGGTCCACAACGTATTTCTCTAAAATATATTAAAACAGAATAAATTGACACACAAATATTCTCTTACAGTCTCGAAGGTACACAGTATTCTACTGGGTTATAGTGTAGGGTTTCAGGGCATGCACCACCTGACACTCACGATGGCTTGTCACCTTCTTTCTTCAGACGGCTTTGGGAAAAAAGAAACAGTGATTAGACGTGTTGTGTAGTTGGTTGTCACATAGTTTACAAGAGTATAATCAAGCTATGTCGACGGTGATGTTGTTTACAATGGCTCCGACCACAGAATAACCAAAAAACACAGTATAAAGATGACTGTTTTCTTTTATTATATATTTCTTTCAAGAAACTTTACTGACAAAGAAAGCACAATCAGTTTTTTCTAAAACTGTTGGGAAAGGTTGTCTTATAATCTACTTTATTGTATATTTAATACCAACTCCGGTTCTAAACAATATAATCAAACAAAAAAACTTTTTTGACACTTAAATACCTCACCTGTAGTAATCCTCCTGACTTGGTAGAGGGCCTCCATGTAGGTGATGCCCATGCAGCCACTGCTGCTCCATAGCCATCCTCTGCAGCTCTGCAGACTGAGCATGCATGGCTTGGAGCTGGTGAGCGGCAGACATCTGAGGAATCGGGCCCTGCAGCTCTCGTGGATATGCAGCTCCTGTGGAAGAAAATAAGCAAATTAGAAAAAGCTGGACTCTGTTGAGTCTCAAATTGCAGGCTGTGAGTACAAGATTACAAACCAAACAACGGATGGCGCAACATTTCGTGATCATGAGGAAGGTCGTTGAGTAGAGGGTTGGGGATGGGGCCACCAGGGAAGGGGAATCGGGCCAAACGTGGTCCTGTTGATAGAGGGTCCAGAGGATGAGGACTTGAACCTGTGTGAAGAAATAGTACATATAGTAAATACAGGTCAGCTTCCCACCACCATATGAATTACTGCTTATTAATTATTATGTGAAGATCAATAAAATCCTTCATCCACCTTCACCTTGACCGAGGGGGTCCTGTTGGTGCAGGTGCAGGTGAGAGTGAATGTGAGAGTGCTGATGATGATGCGGCGTCACATTGAGCATCTGCAGCCTGACAGCAGGGTCAGTTGCCACAGACGCCATCCTCTCCGCATGAAGCCGCTCCGCAGTGAGTCGCTCGGCGTAAGTCAGCTCTGGGCGCATCTGAGGTCCTGCTAGTGCCATCCTCTCCCGCTCCAGATGGTTCAGGCCGGGATGGAAGGTTGCGAAGGGGTGGGGAGGCCCTGGTATGTGGGGAAGACCCAGGGCTCCATGTCTGGCAAAGTGCTCCATGGGGTTGGCAGAGGGATGCAAGGTTTCCATGTCTGGGGGCTTAACCTCAAAGCCGGGCTTCATCCTCTCGCGGAGCTCTCTCTCTCGGAGGTTCCTCAGCTCACGCTCTCTCAGGCTGGGTTCAGCGCTGTACAGACCGGGCATGTGGTAGGCCAGCAGGGGGTCACCTGGGCTCAGGGACACATAGAAAGGGTGGTTGCGGTTGGAGGGGGACATGACGTGTGGTCGGGCATATTCACTCAGGGTGCGCAGAGCAGGTGTGTCAGGGCCAATATATGGCGGCACAGCAGCGACAGTGGTGGATGGCTGCTCAAAGGAGGGGCGTCCGTGGCCCTGAACCGTCATCTGGGCCTCACTCATTCGACTGTCATGGGAGGAGCTGCTGGCTCTCTGTAGGCAAAGACAGCGTGTGAGATGACTCCATGTGCTTTGTATGACAAAGAAGATACTTGAATAGAGACATTAAAATGAATGTTGCACTCACAGCGTTTCTGTCAGCCTCTCTTTCTCGCTCTCTCTCTCGCTCCTTCTCTCTTTCACGCTCTTGCCGAGCACCGAGTTCAGCTTCTCTCCTCGACTTCTCCACGGCCTCCTCCCTTTTCTTGGCCAATTTGGAAGACGAAAGTGGAGTGAAGAACAAGTCGGTTCGTGCACAGGAGTTGTAACCACGATCCAAGTGTTTAATGAACCTGAAAGAAATAAGTAGATATTAGCATGACTCACAAACTTCACACACAATAACAACATGAAGGTGGAGGAGCCTTCACAGTAGATGATGATGTTTGTTAGAAAATGTTATTTCATATTTACTTGTCCCTTTATTTGAACTTTTTGACAAATATGCTAATCAGAAAGGTTTTTAACAAGTCCACAGTTTGACCAAGTTGTCTAAACCGATAATTGAGAAATGAAAGACAATATTCAAACTTTTACCCAAAGCTGCAGCTGAAAATAGTCACAGAGCAATTAGAGCTCAAATTGCACCTCAGTTATGGACACAAATCGCCAATCAGCTGATTGGTTGTTAAATTGTTGTTAATTTCTACTAATAAGTAGTTTCGATAACTCGGTTGAGTGATTTGTTTGGTTGTCAGGCCACTTGTGGTAAGTATTTCTTTCTTTTTTCTAAAAAATCAAACAGGGCTATGAGGCATTGCATGTTCTCATAGCATAGTTTTGTCTTCAGTCGTACCGTGCAGACTGGCTGGCGTGGCTTGCCATGTTAATGACGGTGGGCTCTGGCGAGGGGCTCCGAGGTGGAGATGGTGGACTCTCTGCCTCCTCCATCTCATCCAGTGGCTCTTCTTTAATGTGAACATGTGATGCCACAGCTGTGCTGCTCGGCGAGGGTCTCAGAGGAAGAGGCATGAAGGATGGCTGGAGGCTTGGGGCGGGCCCAATGGCTGAAGGTGTTACAGCGGTGAGAGGGTGCGAGGCCGCAGCAGGTGGGTGAGAGGGAGTCGTGTTTTTTCCAGGGTGGGGCTGCACCTGAGAGATTACTGGAAGTTGGGCGGGAATTAACTGTATTGGCAAAGGCTGCGGCATGAGCTGAAGAGGGGGAGGTGGAGCACCTGGAGGATGCTGGTTGGGTAGAGAATTAAGGGGCTTTAGAGCAGGCGGAGGGGGAAGATTAGAGGGCATCTGGGGGAAAGGTGTAGCAGACTGGTGTGGTTGCTGTTTGTGTGATGGTGGAATCGGGGTGGTGGGAGGAGGCTTGATCTGTGGCCCGGACATAGGAGGCTGAGGGAGCTGCGACTCCCGAAAGAAGGGTGGGGGTCTCTGGAGGGGCTGAGGCGATGGTCCATGTGACTGCAGAGGCAGCACAGAGTTGAGAGCAGGTGGGACCTGAAATGCTGGATAAAGAGGAGAGTCCTGACCCAAAGCTGACGAGAGAGGAAGCGGACCAGGAAGGGGGTGAGGGACGGGCAGTGGTCGGCTGTTTGGACCCCCTGAGGCAGGTGCAGCTGGCTGAGGAGCATCTGGAGATGGAGGAGGGGGGCTCTGAGCGGGATCACAAGAGGAGGTGGTTTGTGGTGGCTGAGCAGTAATGATGGGACCCTGAGAGGGGTGGGCCTGTGGGACTGGTGTATCAGCTAACACAGCAGCAGGGGCGACAGGCTCTGATGGGACACCGTTCGGCTGGGCAGACGAGTCCGAGTCGCTCTCGTTGCCCTGCTGGGGGCTGGGGATGCTGGGAGAGGAGCTGCGGTTGTCCTGATCAATGTCTTTGGTGTCACTACTGCCATCCTCCTGAGCGCTGCGGCTTTCTGAGGAGCTTTCCTCCTCTACCTCGGCCTCTCCCTCTGACCGGGAGCCCTGTGGATCCTGGAAGAACAAACCAACAAAGATCATGTTGCGCCCAATTCAGGCCTACAATATGTTATTTTTTTATAGAAACAGGAATTATA